TGATAAATATTTCTTCATAACTACAATAAATAAATTCAATGATAAAATCAATAATAATACATATGTTCTAAGCTTACGGAATATTTTTAGCAGCTAAAACAAGTTTTGTTCGTTGTACAAACGGACAAAAACGCATGCTATATAATCGTAATTGATTTTCTTTTAATGGTGGACATTCAGAATCTATTTAATTTAATTTGTATTAAATGAAGAAATATCTATAATTCTTTCAATTCCTACCTGATTTCAAATGTTTCTTATTACTTGTCATTTTTATCAAACAATAATATAAACGAGGGTAGAATGAAAGAATGTTGAATTCTTTTTCTTTAAATATGGCATAAAAAATGCGTTGTCATCATGATTTTTCTTTCCTTTCTCAGTAAATAACAAACTCCACATTATGTTTCAACATAGAGAAAAATGCTTTATCATCATGATACTTTTACACTATCATATAATTCCAACATCATTTCTTCATCAACCTTTATCTTTGAAAAAAATATCTTTCATTTATGTTTTTTGATAATATTCTATCAAAAAATGCCGATGATGATGATCCATTAATTTCAGATGAATATCAGATAAACTTAACTACTAATAACGAACAGTTTTATACATATTTTAATGACATTCAATTACTTTCATTGTGTAATCATTTCAATAATGAAAATATAAAAGATTTAAAAATCTTGAAACAACATTAAATAAATATAAACAAATTTAATAATCGTATTTTATACATAGTGCTATATTTATATATAATATTATTCAGCTTACGACCACGAATAAGTATTTTAACTTCACTATCATTTAAATTTATACCTGAATCAGGATCATTAACATTTTCATTCACTATGCTTCTGATGAACTAACAATAGTTCGTTTTTTTAATAAAATTAATTGTTGATGTTGATTGTCAGCTTTTTCGATCATTAGTACAAAAATAAAACAACTATTGGATATATCTATCGATATTATAAAACAAAAAGACAATAAGCGCTACATGTAGTTCATTTGAATAAAAGAATAATTTTAGAAAAGTAAAATCCAATAAAATTTTCGTTATTGTCATGTGCTAACGTTTATTTAGAGCGTAATCATTGCATCGAAATATGATAACATTAAAGGTTAATAAACCTATTTTGAATACGAGATAATCAACATGATTTTGTTCTTGGAAGAAGTTCATGATATCATTCTACAGTTCATTCTTCGATTTAGTTCTGTTCAAACACAGCCATTATTGACGATGGTGATTAGTCTGCATAAATAGGATCGTTATATACTAGAACATCTTTTATCGTAGGTTGTCGAAAATAATATATAATATACAAAATAGAATATGACGAAACAATATAGTAAAAGAGATTCATTTTCAATAATAAGTTAAGAAGATAGTTTTTTACTGATTTATAAACTAATATTTAAATTGATCTTTGACTATTTCACATTGACTGTTCATTGGTCTTTGATGATAACTAGATTCAATTAAATTTCTTTTCAAGACAAATATTCTTTGAAGAGGATCTTTGAATCAAATGTAGTCTATTCTAGATATTATATATTATCAATGGATTTGATCTAGAAAAATGTTTTCCATTTGAGCCAACACCATGTTGATTTCAGATTAAAACCAAATATTAATCGAAAAATATTCAATGCAAACAAACAATGACTTGTAATTAGTTTCATCAGGTTTACTAACTATGAGTAATTGAAAAAATACAGCAACTGACCTAAGGTAAATTCAAAATAAAATGTATTTTGATTTCAATCATATACTATTTTCCATATTTTTAGTAATTAAATAAGGATAGATCCTAAATGGGAAAATTTTTCTAATAGACAACATCTATTCATCATAAATATAATTAATTGGAGTTAATGATAACGATGTACTTATTTTTTGGATACCTGTAAGCTACGATATCTATTTGGTTTTTCTTCTTTTTACTTTTCGTACAATCTAATCAGTACGATATTTGTAAAACAATAAAAAATGTTATGAATGACAGATTTCAAGAGATCTTAAAATTCAATAATAATAACCAATATGGGTATGGGTGATATTGACAAACTTGTTAAAATGAAAATCGATTACTCATCAATTGTCAATGAAAAATTCATTAAAATTATACAAAGCACTTGATCGATTATTGTCGCGTGAAAAACAAACACGTACTGCAGTTGATACGATTTCTGCAGGACATGTTCTTGTTTCTATGATAAAATATTGTTATGCAGAAAAACAATAACAATTATTAGATGAATATGTTCTTACATTATCAAAACAAGCAACTAAAAAAATGATGCAAGAAACTTATGAACTTCTTTTATAAAAATAAGAGCTTGGAACTCTCCTTTATTACCTAAATAAAAAATTAACACATTTAGCTAAAACATAATCAAGATATTTAATTTTCCTTTTGGACAATGAATTTACGGACACTATGTATATACAGACACGAAAAGTAAACAAGCAACTGATATTGTCTTTTCAACGCTAGTGTATACAGAAGAAAAAAGACAAACGTTTTCATAATAACTATTAGTTTTCTCTCTTGGCTGGAACTTGTCTGATACCACTAAATCAAACATGTAGACATAATTGATAGAATCAATAGTGGTAGAAGTAGCAATAACAACAACATCGGTCACCACAATTGAGAAAAAAACAATTTATGAAAATAAACTTTATTCTAGTATTTTTTTAAAATAGTTTATTAGAGATCTATTCAATATCATAATCTGCTTTGCCCTCTCGAACAGTATTGAAAAACTTTTTCATTATTTCTTCAGGTACTTTTACTTTTTGAACAACTTCATTTGCTTTCATTGCTTCAACCCATTTGGCAAGTTTCGGTAATTTACCATCAGCATTCAAAATAAAACCAGATTCACTTATAACTGGAAAACGCTCAAACCATGGCCATATCATAAAATCAAACATTCCTGGTTTAGATCC